AAGAACTGGACGCGCGATTGGCAAGAGCCACAATTCGTCCTGGGAGAACTGAACTGAAGTAATTTGTTTAAGTGCATCAAAAACCCTTTCAAGTTAACCAGCGTCATTTCGATCATTAATTTATGGTTTCTTGTAAAATGGACTTCAAGAAAATACTTGATGATACACAAAGCGCTGTCGACAGAATATTTCAGGTGAGATCCTAATATTTCAAAGGTGATAACCTCAGGCGACGAATGAGGCTCTCGGTAGATCAGAAAAAACGGAATACGATGCGGAATTCATGCAACTTTCTGCACAGGCTGATGTACTGTATAACACCACGAAGAAAATCATTGGAAGTGTAGAATTTTGGGTGAATCCTCATCCTGGTACGTTCAATAGCAAAATAATTATTGTTCGTGACCTCTTCACAGGCCGCCGATTGGAAGACATTGGTGAGTTGATGGCTTACAACCTGTGTCTGTGGAACTTTCGTGAGATTATATTCCATCTCATTATTGCGCGGACGATGAGGAATTCATCAAACCATATTCGATGCACGCAAGTGTTACGTTTTACTCGTATTTTCATACGTATGGCAAATATTTGCCGTATGGCAGGATACTCTGCCATTGGGGTGGTGTGAGTGGCTGTTGTTAGTTCAGTTCAGTTCAATTTGCACAGGACGCTGTATGACTCGGGCCAATCGTGCGTCCAGATGGATGTGTTGTTGGCCTCATTCAATCGGACTGTTGCAAATGTATTGACTTTTGAGGAGAATGGCAAACCTTTTGAATTCTCTGCCAGCAATAGTGATGGGGGATGTAATTGATAATGCGTTATAATGATTTTGGGAAGAGAACATGAAGTGTATATTGCGGAAAAAGTACTTAATATTAACTATTATATTTGGTGGTAATGGAGCTTAAACGGATATCCTAGCCTATACGCAACATCTTGAAGATTAATACTTGATGATGGAATCGAGCACCTATCAAATTGGATCAAAATTAGGGAAGTTTATTCGATTTGTGGTACCTTTTCTAGTTTGAATGTTTCGCATTTCTTTAGTCTTTCAGACACCATTTATTTTTTACCGAAGTTATATCTTGAAGCTTAGCTCCAAACATGCACGATTATTTTCTGCAAAACCGAATGAACAGATCAATGCGATAACTATGCACTACTTTTCAATAACCATTCGGTTAGACTTCTCTGTAAGTTATAAATAACGTTCCATGCGTTTAACTTAAGCTATATTTGAAAGAAGCAGTTTGCTTGTACCACCTTGACCCAGTTGTGTTTGTTTCTTTTAAAGGAAATCAGCTGGAAAAAATTCTTTCTGATAAGAAAAGTTACCGACTAAATGTTCCCTGCAAATCGCCTACAGAGTGCTTGGGTGACGTTTTACTCAGTGCCTCGGTAGATGTCGGGAAGAAGTACAATTACGGTGAGTTGTCCTTATTCATTCAAATTATGTTGCAAAGTGATTGTATTTTTCCTTGCTAACTTGAGGCATTGAATGTATCCTGATTAACAAATTGGGTAGTAACTATCTTATTGAAAATGTTATATGTCAATATTGAATACGTTCTATTTACAGTTTGATTTTTTTATTTATGGAGTTAGTAAGTATCAGCCAATTCATGCTACATTCAATAGGCTGAAAAATAACATTGAATACAAATAAGTAATCGATTTCTTTCTTTGTATCCTCATTACAGCCTGCCATTATCAGATCCTTTTGGAGTGACATACGTTTTTATGATTTCCCAAGTCGATCTGAACAATAATAGATAACGAAATAAAAAAGCAGTACCTGCCGAGCTCTAGCTACCATGGCTATCAAACTTACTCTTAACGATAGCGAAACCTGAGGGTACCACTGCGGTTATCATCTTCTTGGATCTTGGTGCCTCGTCAATGTCTACTGAAAAAAGTTGAAGACCCTGGACGTACGAGTATGACTGCTTAAATAAACGAGGATTTCCCCAGTTGGGAGGCTTCTGCATGAGTACAACAGTCTTCATCCTCGTGGTACCCAACAGATAACGGGGTCCTTTGTTATGTGGTCATCGTTTTTAATGCATGTAGGTTAGTCATCAGGTCCTCTAATAACGGGAGGGTGATTTAGAACTTCCTCTGCAGTTTAACGAGACGGTTAGAGGGTTCTGCAGACGTGCATGGCTAAATGTACACACAAGGGGATGGGATGGAAGAATCTAGAGGTGATTGATAGAATGCAACAGACGATGCTATCAAAGTAAGAACGGGAAAAAGGTTATTTTATTGAAGGATTGAGAAATACCAAACCACGGGAACATAGAGATGAGTGGTAAACCTAGGCTAGAATACTATTAGCAACAATTCAAAAATATTATTTAGCCTGATTTCTGATTGTTTTACAGCTTCCATTTAAGACCAAAGCTGAAATACGGTGTGGTCACTGCATCCATCCCCATGTACAGTCGATGGAACCAACGGAGGTTCAGTCTTGTCCTACAAGACTGGCGGAGGTAGTACTTAGTATCAGCCACGAGAGTAAACTGATGACAGATTTTCCTCAGACTGTTCCAGAAGAGTTGACTTAGTAAGTATGCGGGGGTTACCACTAGGGAAATGGAGTCTAATTTACAGTCTGCCTCCTCACCAAGATACTGAGCAACTAAGAAGACACGTTGTCAGTGAAAAAAAGAAGTCCTTGGGGCTGTCGCCCATCTGCCACCTGTCACGGAGGTTGACAAACCATTGGAACACAATGCGAGCTAGTTTGGTAAAGAGGGGAAGGGAAAGCGTTTCTAACTGTGGCTAGATGAATGCATGAACTGTCTGTGATAACAGGCCTCAATGTAGGCCAACACCAATGCCACCGGAGACCTCGAAGAGTAAGCTTGTGCGGGTTAACACCACTTTATTCTATAAATGAAACAAACTGACTATTTGAAGTGAGCGCATAATGAAAATCTCGCTCCAATGAATGATGGCTACCCGTTAGGTGACGTTTGTAATTGCTGATAAAAGAATATTTCTTCTACCAAAAATCTTAAAACCTGCACTGCGAATGATGTCTGATCTTTAAACTTGTCTAAAGAAAGCTCAGAGGTTGGCTTGCAGATTTTTTTTCCGTATTAATCTACGACGTTTAAAACGCTTTTTTATTTCTTTCTTGTTTTTACACATTTTTATTTTGATTAAAAATTGTCATCTCAGATGTGTCTAACGTCACAGGCTTGTCATAAATATCGCTTACGTTTTATATTCTGTTTTTTTAACTATGTCCCAACTGGTTCAAATTACTGTGTTTTACTTGATACTTTGAGTTTTTCACAGATGTTGTGTATTGAAGCTTCAAGCAGTAAAACCTAAAATCAGTACTATTACCAGTGTCTGGTGTCTTAAAGCAATCAAAATAGTCAGGAACGAGCACAGTTATCAAAGCAAAACATCATATTCCCTTTATTCATCCCATTGACACCAGAATGCATGTGAGCTGAATTGATATAGGACACAATTTCACATGTTCTCATTCAACAGTAAACCCACATTTATACAGCTACGTAAAATGGAATTACACGGGTTGAACTGAGACATCGGAACAAGGTAATAGACAAATGAATTACGTAATGGAGGTTGGTTATGGGGCAAGGTAAAATAACTTTGATAAATACGTTGTGAAAGTGAACTATTTAAACAAAATGGTGAATACGAGTGGTGGTGGAATGGGGGGGGGGAGGNTCGTGTATCTATCGTTGCCCACTTGGACAGGAATATACCTGCACTTTGGGACACGGCCATCATCATCGTACGGAGGTTTAAAGTGAAGTGATCTTCACTGATCACTGCCGAACTTATATGAGATAAGTGCTAATATGTAGAAAGGATATTGGTTAAGCCTATTTGCTGGAAGAGGGCTACGAACCTCGTTTGGTGCAGACCATATTTTGCAGATTTCGCCAACTCTTGCAAGTTTGGCCAGACGAATTCAACAGAGTGACACGTTTTGCCGGTTAGTGATTATTTTATCACTTTTACGGTAGTAAGCTTGGATTAGCACACTCGATTGTTAAGACATATCAAGCACTCTCGAATGTGCTAATCCAAGCTTACTACCATAAAATTCATTCAACCATTCGCACATGGTGATAACCATCGACTGTGTAGCTCAAGGGTTTGAAGTCCCAGCCCGAAGAATCGCGGTTCGAGTCCTGACAGAGACACAAAATGTGCGCACTGCTGAAGAGCCCGAAACAGGACGAAACAGCTGTCCGGTGGTATTTGTTCGTAAACGCAAACATTTCCATCCCATTTAAATGCATACAAACAGTGGGGAATTGCCGATCTGCGCTTGGAGGTACATCGAAAAGACAACGTCATGTGTCGACCAAAGTCTACAAACCTTTCTAAAATTATCTCAGTCTCCCTGGGGGGGGGAGACTATCATCGAATGCAACTGCAAGGCGTTTGCCAGACTCAGGTCACCAACACCAACCACGTGCACCGAAAATATTTTGAGATCACTACATGATTACAAAGGTCACGGATTTTACGATTTCTAAAAGCCATAGTTTTCCATTAGCTGAAACTGCATTGCAGTAAAAAGTATTTCTGGCGCAACGTCTTTTGCCGTAGTTTGCCGTAGGTTTTGTCACACCAGAAGCCGCTTCAAGAAGCTGATTGGCATGTCCTTCCCTTCACCTATACTTATATTTAACATTTTCTTTCAGATTGTTCACTTTCACAACATAATATCGAATTTTGCTTTATAGTTTGGTCTTACTCATAACCAAAGCAAGTGTTTCACTTGTCCACCACTCTGTTCCGATGTCTCATTCCAACTCGTATAATTCTGTTCTGCGTAGTTGTGTAAATGTCCGCTTACAGCTGAATAAGAGCACACGAAATTGACGGTCAACAACTTACAAATAATGACATATGACTTCCAGGTTTAACAATATTGTAATTGGTGTTGACTGTCGACCGTGCAGGCCTTAAGTAATGGTTTGAACACAAATCTCGTCATGTGCCAGTTGTTAAGCGTTATTCTGACTTAATCAGGTCTGAATGAACGCATCTGAATGCAGTCTTTGTCACTCCAAATTTTTGAAACAAACAACACCAGGCTTTTGGGGCAAAATATTCGCTTTCTTTGTGAGCAGAACTTTCTGTTGGACGTCAACAGCCTCAACGCCGCTTTCATCCCTCTTTTGCAATGAATCCAATCCAGTGTTTTTTTCCGATGATGAAATCTTTAAGCTTTTTTGATACTCCAAAGCATCCCCAGTCACAGGCCTTGATGATCTTCCTCTGGCGTTTATAAAATTTGGAGCAGCCCCCCTAGCCAATATGATAACATCCCTCTTCAATTAGTCCCTGTCTTTCCGGTCGATTCCTGATTCTTGGCCTCAGGTTACCACTATAGCAATCCCTATGTCCTCCTCAACTGTTCTTNCGTCCA